ACCTTTAAAACGCTTATGTTTTTAAATTATAATATTACAATTTAAGATTAATGTAGTTAATGTATTTGAAAATAAGTGGGAATAGGCAAAAGATGGCAGACCAATCAAAAGTGGCTTTTTCATGATCAGTCTCTTATTGTAGGGTGCTTTCCATTTAGTGACACAAGTCAACACAAGTATCGCTCTATCTTTCTTGGCTTTCAATTAACAAGGACAAAATGATATTTGTGTCGACTTGTGTCACTAAATGGAAAGCACTTGTAGTGTCTCTAGACGCCAAGCGACAGAGCGGAAGCGGCAAGGGTACCACACACGCATATAGCTTTCACTTATTATTTATATTGCTAGTAGAGATAGCGCATTTTGACAATGATATCTGTCATGTTGTACATACGTAATCGTTGTGGTAAAAAAAAAAATAAAAAGATTACAAATGGTAAACGTAAAAGTATTTTTTTCGTATTTTTTTGAGAAGGATATTTTTAACTAATTAAATGTTGAAATGACATAATTATGTAATTTATTTCATGTCACATGATAATTGCTCATAGTAATGAAGTACATAGTTGCGACAAATTAATAGAATTTATTAGAATTTTATATTTAATTAAAATATGAAGAAATTACGTCCGCCCCATGCGCTGTAATATCTAATTCAAGTAAAATTTTAAGAAAGTCGAAATATTGATTATCATAGAAATACTAAAAGACTAATTTTTTACTACTGATACTATCGATCGCCATGTATTTAAAATCTTAAAACCGTTATTCAATTTTCTAGCGGCTTCTATTGTTAATTGGAACATGTTGGCATGAGAAGCTTCTTTTTACGGAAAGATGAGTTATACACGTAATCGAGGCTGCTGATATTCATTGTCAGTACTGAAAATATATAAGCTACGTAACTCACTACCAGTACTGTAATGCCGTTCCGAAATTCATTCCAGTGTGCTGCGATAACACTACGATAGAATAATGACGTCATAAATTTTGTTGTCACTTCCTGCTGCGGCTACTGTAGCTAAAAAGACACAGCAGTCACAATACAAAATGACGACGTTCGAGAAAGAAAGAAGAATCTTACTCGATACAAAAACAAATATTCAATAAAATAATAATAAATAAAGAAGACGCACAAGAAGCATTGTGAGATAAAAATAAAATTTGATATTTATATTATAGCGGATTCGATCATTCGCGCTACCAAGTTTGTATAAACATTATATACGAAATTATTGCTTTAATTGCTTTTCAGGAAAGATCGTGCATCTATCTGATTTTCTATCTCTTTCTAAATTGGCCCTATTAATTCCAATAAAAAAAATATATTCCGATGTAATCTAAAATAAATATATTTTAGTAAAATTACAGAAACAATTTATCGTATCTACAAAGAACAAAAGATAAAAATTATAAAAATAATAAAAATTATAAAAATTATAAAAATATACCGAAAACAAGTTTTAAATTCTTTATTTGTAAATCGAGGTACTATATCTTCTACAACGTATTTTAAGTATAGAATTTGATCTATTTTTCTTTAATGTTAATATTTCTTCCATTGCATCAGAGTTACTATCAGATTCACCGCTACTTGATTCCATTATATGTGCAATATTATTAATTATAAAAATTTTTTCCATTTTCTTATATTATTATATGACAGCGTCATATGCAATTGTACACAATGCTGTTCAATCCCGTTCCATTTCCACAATTTCACAGTATAGCGAAAGCGGAACGCTTGCATAGCACACTATAATGTTGATAGTACTGCCAGTAAGTTACGGAACGCAGCCATAGTTTAGGTCACGTATATTATAGATTTTCAGTACAGGCAGTGAATATCGGAATGCAGCCCGAGATACGTAGTAATTCAATTCAAATCGTTTAATGTTTGTTTTGTCACTCTAATAATGATGCAATGTCATAACTGCCAAAGAATTTATTTTGATGAAGACAAGCTGCAATAACAAAATAAAGTAAGTATAATTAAATGGCACTAATGGATAGGAGAATAAAAAATTTGACTGTTCCTATAAGATTAAGTTAATTCCCTCAAGTGTCTATAATAATAAAATCTATTCTAAATTTCTAAATTATCGAGATTATTATGTAGATGTGCTGATATATACGTGTTCAAAGAATTGAGTTTGACTTTATAAAAATCAAACATAAGCATATTTTTAACTGCATTTTTAGCTGTAACACAGAGTACCGTAAAAGAATAATAAATTATTAAAATTTTAATAATTTATTATTCAACTCACTCATAATAAATTTTAATAATTTATTCTTTTACGATACTATATGTTACTATAGTTAAAAATGTAAGAATCTTTTATTGATTGATCAGCGTATCGTCATTGTCATTGCTGTTGTTGCCGCAATCATCGCTGTTGTTGCCATTGCCAAAAAGAAGTTTGAAGATGCAATTTTATCTGCAGCGAAGCAAAGCTAGCTTTTACCCTCATTCCATCTCAATGCAAAGCAGCGTTGAAAAGCTATCGCTATCGCTTCCTTCCTTTTCATGAAGCGAAGAAAAGCTAGCATTTTATCCTTATTCCACTTCAATGCAAAGCAGCAAAAAGCTTTAAAGCATTTGTGTCAAATGTGCCGTAGCTGAAAAGTTATTGTAATTAAAAAAAATTAAATTTCTTATTTTGTGTCTTAAAATGAACTATAATAGTCAGTAGTCGAATATATAGAGCAATATAGATGTATGGCAACCACTGTTACAGTAGAGATTACGGAGGAAATGACGCATAATCGCTGTACTTGCTACGATACATTTATTGAGAAAAGAAAAAAATCGTATGAAAAGAAAAAATATTGGGTGGCCCCCATTTTCGAAATCATAAATAATCATAAACAAAATCATAAATAATTATAATAATCATTTAATAAAATCATAAACAATCATTTTCCATAATTTAAAAATTGTCTAATATCTGTATCTTTATAATTTCTCTTTCAGTCTTTCATTTCATCGGCAACATTTTTCTAGCGTTACTTCGCTGTTAGTTGGATACTGTCAAACTTTCAGCGTTTTTGCTCAGTAGTTCACTGTATTCATCGAAAATCAATGGAGACGAAGTAAAAGCTGGCTTCGCTGCATGAAATTGAGAGCGGCCATTCCTTTTTCATCGGATTGAAAGTGTACACTGCTAGTATATCCACTTTCAAATTTCGAATTATATAGTTACATCCATTTTCCAACGCTGTTGATAAAATTGCATTCTGGTGCGTGTCCGTGTTGTATCCATAACTTATGGATTAAGGATACTACTGTGATCAAAAAAAGATTTATATTGAGATTGATTCATTTAAACTGCGCATTTCGAACAGCGAAGTAATATTTTTTTTTAGATTAGTTGGATTGTTTTTAATCTTTGTCTAAAATTCACATCATTACCTTTCTTAGTCTATAAATAAATGTTTGTGTGATGAGAAAAAGTATTTTCGACGATTTTTAACATGTCGAATTTTGAAGAAAGAATTTGCATAAAATTTTGTTTTCGGAACAAAATTTCGTGTACAGAAACAGTGTAGACGGTGATCTGTGCTTTCTTTGAATATTTTATATTACTAGACATTACAAACGCGCGCTGCGCGCACGTTATTTATCTTTTTAAACACAAAGAGCAAAAATTAACATGATACTATTATACTACTGCTACACTATAATATTTTTAACTTCTTGAAACACGATTGTCAAAACGATCCTCTGTAAGATACAGCTATTCACGATGTAATGACAGCTATTCACGAAGTTAGGGCAGCGAGAGAACCAATCAGCATCGCGGAAAAGCGTCAACAATAAACTTCGAGAAAATTTCGAGAGATGCGAGTATCGATTTAATATATCTTTTTTTTTAGAAAGAATTCGAAAATTCTTATTTTTGATATGCATTTATCACCAAAACGTGTCCACTATTTTTGTACACGAAATTTCATTCCGAAGACAAAACTTTATGCAACTATTTTGTTCAACAAAATTCGACATGCTAAAAATTGCCGAAAGTATTTTTTTTCAATCACAAGCATTTATTTATAAATAAAGGTAAAGCAAAGATAGGATAGGTAATGCTATAAAATTTTAGGCAAAGGTTAAAAACAGTCCAATTCATCTAAAAAAACAATATTCCCAAAATAAAAAGGGAGGGTGTGTCACATCAGGGGATCTGACTACGAAAGAGTCATGAAATTAATAATTATTAGTTTTAAAGTCATAATTATTAGTTTTAAAAATATCATCTCAGCCAGGAATTGAATTTGGATTTTTTACTTTCTTCGATGTTTTAAATACACAGTTTAAATGAGTCAATTCGGATACTTTTTGATGACAGTAGTATATTTATATAATTATATATTCGCGCGTAATTTTTTTGTTATATTTTAATCTATGTTAATTTATTATGCTGCTATTGTTGTTGTCACGATTGCTACTACTGCCGTCACTGTCAACGCCACTATCACCGCCGCTGTTATTGCTATTGTCATTATTATCGTCACCGCTATTACTGCTGCCGCCACCGTCGCTGCCACCACCATCACCGCTGCCACCGTCGGCGCCACCACCGTCTTATTACTACCACGGCTTCTATCATTGCCACTGCTGCTGCCACCGCCATCCGATGCGTCATTGTCACATCACCGAGCATCTCATTCGATATACGAAATCGTGTTCGCCAACACGATAGCTGCCGAGTTATACTACTGTATGTCGCATACACCCTGTCGTTCATCGCGTTCTCGTGTCTCGCGTTCTTGTGATCAGTAGGCGTGTCGAGGGTGACAACCGTGTATAAGAGCGAATATCACACGACATTGCAAACTCATCGCATCTTGAAAAAGAGATTCTTCGAAGGGGTGAGTTCCTTCGGTAGACTTATTCCAAATAAAATCTCAAGATACAAAAATTAATCAAGATCATCTTTGCAATAGACACATAGAGAATGTACAAGTTATATAGATAATTGTGATTCTATTGATTTATCCGAATAAATGCGATTCTTCTAAGTTTATTTTCGAGTTCTGTTATATTCGTAATTTAAAACACGAAAATCAAGATTTTTGTCTTATTTAATATATTTGTCTTATATAATATATTTGTTTCTATTTTTCAATCTTCTATTTTTCAATCTTGTTTTATGATTCTCAAATTTTCAGTACTCGCAAAATTCAATAATTTACTCATTATAGATGTGGTCTGTCAAAAACAATCTTTTAGGAACACACAAATCCATTTTAATATTGTGAAATTTTTAGCTTTTTTCATATTTTTTTAATTATTACGAGTTGTCACAATGAATATGATAGTTTTGATTATATAATTTAATTACTTGAATTTAATAACATTAGCTATGTTAATGTCAAATTCTTGTGAAGTATGATCAACATCAATTCTTGAAGTAAACCAACACTTGAAGAAACCAAAATATGTAAAGACTGCAAAAATTTAATCATCATTTTGCATAGAAACTAGAAACTTTTAAATAAATGCAATATTACAACAGCATTATTTTGAATGAACCAATTTTGAAATCAATATTTATACGAATATGATTAATGAACATTTATGATATTAATAAATATAAAGAGTGATAAAAATTCAATATTAAAACAATTCATTAAAAATTTTATGAAAAAATGTAAAGATTGATAAATAATTAATTATTGAGATTAATTATTGATAAATTTGACATATTAAACATGGTGATTCCACATTTCAGTTTTTGAATTACCTATTAGAAGTTAGCCCCCCACTTTTAGAAATAACTTATTTTGAGAGTTGTGCTGAATTGTGCTAGGTTTGTGCTACATTGTGCTCGAATTTTAAAACCGTAATGTGAAAAATATCATAAAAAATGAAAAAAAACGACATTTTAGGCTAGCCCCCCCTTTGCGATTTTTTTAATTTTCTCGATTGTGCTAGATTGTGCTAGGTTGTGCTAGGTTGTGCTAACATTGTGCCAAAATATTATCTTTAAAAAATAATAACAATAGAAGTTATGATAAAAAATAGATTTGGGAAAAAAAAAATATATAAATGACATTTATTCTTATATCAGTCATCTAAAGAGTAATGACAAATGAATATCTAATATATACTCGCTTAGCCCAAATCGG